GCACTTGCTCGTGAAACTAAAACCCGGCGTTTTAGCCAAGATGTTTGGCCTTCCTAAAAACAAAGGAAAAGTTGCGAAGGCATGATCATCTCGGCCTCGATTATAGGTCGAGGCTGAGGCCGAACAAAATCACGGCCAAAGGTATTAAAGTCAGATCATCAAGTGGCAGTAGGGTCCCACGCTTCATTTAATGAAGTAATGCCTCTGTTTGTTGCAGCAAACCCACTGGCCACAAATAAGCATTTAATGCACGAGGAAAGGTGGGAAGTGACTGAAGTCAGGATTTGGTGATAGGAATCAGAGTGATTAGACGCAAACATTCTCACAAGAATTCTTGCAGCTTGAGAGATTAGGTCACTAGCTATCAAAACAATAAATGCGTCCCCACGGTCAGAAGCGCAGAAACCACGATCAGGGCGGCGACCGAGATTTATTAGGATTTATGGGGTCACACCACCATACTTCACGATCCCAAATGTCGATTGGACTACCCACTTGCTCTAATCAGTCTCCACCATGCAGATTTCCAGCCTCGATTACTCGTCCAAGAACTCTTCCTATAAATACAAAGCTCAAGCTGCATTCAAAGGGTTCAAACACCAAACCAAATCCTCCCACGGAGCAAATTATATTTTCATGTAATGCACTTTCAATATCTTTACTTGCTTTCCTAGGAGTAGTGTTAGATTGTAAGGAAAATCCATTCATCAATATATCATACGACCCTTGATTTTCAAGGAGCCGGAGCACCATCTCTGTTACTCCCTCATTCACCCCATATATCATACGACCGTCGCTCACTGAGCAGCGCGCCGGAGCACCGCCCAAAACCCACCATTTTCACCACCACTAAACGGCCTTGTAGCTCAGGCCGTGAACCTGACGGCCGAGATCAGTTCCTCTCTCGGCCACAATCGTTTGATTAGAAGTCGAATTCAAACAGGCGCACCACTTAACCATTCTATCCACACCAACATCTCGACGCACGGTAGACCGTGCTGGCACGCCCGCGCACAATCGCACCACATCCAAAAGTAGGAAGCCAAGTGTTAACGCACATCCCCTCGCCTCGGAGCACCAGGCCGTGAGATTTGCGCCGCCAACATCCGGCGATCCCTATATTTTTTCAATATCCCTGTGGCATCACTGGGGCTGGTCAGAATGGGTTGAGCATAAGTTAGAGGATCCGATTAACCGAGATACCTTGCGGAAAGCTGCGGTGTTATATGCCATTTTTGTATCCAAACGATGTGAGATTTACTTAGAAGTGCAGCTACTTCGCCATGTAATCAGGAGATGGAGCTCGGAAACACACACTTTCATATGTTCGTGGGGGGAATTCACTCCTACACTTGAAGATGTGGTAAATATTCTTCATCTTCCCATTGTTGGTAATTAAGACCCTTTCAACATTATACTGGATGCCAAAGACAAAGAAAGGCTTGAGATTCTTAAAAGGGTGCCATGAGTAAGCAATCTCTTTGATTCAGTAGCTGGGTGAAACATTTTAGTGATAAAGATAAAAGACATTCGTGTAGTCCTTATGCACATGTATCCTTATGGCTTGGAAAGTTTGTGCTTTGTAATTTCTTTTCGGATTGTATGCATGAGAGAGTGTTCCCTTTAGCACTGGCAATCGTGAGAGGCGACGTGATTCTGTTAGCCCCCATGTTCCTGGGATACTTGTATCGCTTGCTGGATCAGGTGCATCTTCTTCAGAAGGGTGCGGCCGGAACAATGGCAGTGGAGAGTTTTCTCAATTCAAGCTTTTTGCAGGTGTTTCTATGGGAGCACATTAATGGTTTGGATGTGTGCCCACTGCCCCATTCACAAGCTAGACTGCTTGTTCGTGCTAGTGATGATTCATACATGCCAGATATGCCTCCTTTGATTTCTCGGTGGTTCAGGAGAAAGCAAAGGAAAGGCCAAAACTTCCTTGAGCTACTCGATGATATTCAACATTTTGTCTTTCGCCCCTATGCCAAGGTACCCAGAGGGTTTGGACACGTGTCATTTTATGCAGAAGTAGGAGAAACTTCCATTATAATACCAAGGGGTGAGCAATCGAGAAAAGATGCACATCTAAATATGGCAGGCCTCCCACTGTTTACATTTGGTGATGATCATTCTGAGGTGTCCGTTCATTACTCGACTCATCGGGTTAGACGGCAATTTGGGCTTGATCAAGGCGTCCCAGCAAGACCCGACTTTCCCCATCCACTTGAAATGCAAAAGGTATTTTGGAGTAGAGTGAGGGCACCAGATGATGGTAGACAATTTGCCCTTGCTTTGACTAGCAGGGGAAGGGTTGGTGGCTGTTCAAAAGGTCACCGTGTTTATTGGAAATGTTGCTTCACCTATTTTACTCGGTTTCATGCGAGTTCCCCGCAAAGGCTGCTCCCTTCTATTGATCATCACCGAAGACTGATATCGAAAAAGAAAGCTATTGCGCTCAGTGAGAAGTGAAACTTGGCATTTACTTCTAAGGATGGCAAAATTGTTGGAAGGTCCCTGGAGTCGGTAAAAAGAAACCCTGTGCTGCAAGAATCAATAGCCAAGCAAGGCGTGAACGAAAAGCGCTCTTCTCAGAGAAAGAAGAAATTCAAACCCAAAGTGGCAGCGATTGGTCCTCCCAGGAAGAAACTTTCTCCTTCAAGGGCCGACCACATCAGTCCCAAGTTAGCGCCGGAAACTCCCAGCACCTACACTTTGCTTACAATAATGCATATATATACTTAATTCGTTTGTTACCATGCAGGCGCTTTTTTGAGGAAGAGGAAACGTCGGGGTTCCCACCTGGGAGATATAAGTACTTCAAGTACTCCCGAACTCGATGGTGAAGATGATGGAACTGATTTTGCATATATGGAAAGAAGTGAGGCACCCATTGGCGACATACCGGCTGATCATGCATACAGTCGAGGTGATGAGGATGAAGTTGGTGATGGTTGTCTAGTTGACTTGGACCATCCTTTGGAGGAACCGCTCTGCTTGGACGCCCCCCTTGGATTCGTCCATGATGTCACAACCTCCATGCCATATAATGTTGAATTTGGTATACTTTATTCGTTCTATTTATCTTGATCCTGTGCATGCTATACTTTTCCACTATCTTATGATTGATCCATATTTTCTTTTTATCTTGCAGGTGGACACTACTCAGGAGAAAGAGATTCACGTGGCAAGCACATCATCAACATTTAATATAGTGACTAATACTTCTAGCGAGGATTTACCTTTGGTAGACATGTTGGGGTATGACCCTTCTTGTTATGAGGTGGAAGATGCATTTAGTGACTTTATGGTTTTCTTCGACAGTGACACAAGAATACTTAGATCCACTGACGAGCTTCTTCCACTGTGCTACGAATTCCGAGGTTATGAGACATTCCGAGGAGCGCAAGTATTCCCGGGGACAGTGAAAGCTTTGAGTAAGTTCTTTGATAGCTATGAGGCTCGCATCGAGAGTGCCCGCAATCTATCTTTTTCTTCGAAGAATCTGGCCTTTCGTGGTCTTGGTCTGTCTTTATACGGCATGGATGTCACGTCATATTCGGAGATTTCTGACCATAAACTTCTTTGTTGGAGAGATACAATCCGTGACGCTATCTCATATGGGCTTCAAGTAGGTTTCCTACTTGACATATTGAAGATGAGGCTAGCTCGTGTTGTGTTCGAAACACGAGCTGCTTGCAGTGCAGCGATATCTGTTCAAGTCCTCAAAGTAGGGGCAACAACTCAAGCTTTGAAACTCAAACATTAAGAGTTGGACAGTGAATGTCACAAGTTGAGTGAGCTTTTACTTGAAAAAGGGATTTCTTCCGATAATGCTGGCTACGTATTGGAGGCTGCCAAAGGGTCACCTTGTAATGCCTCCTCGATATTGTATGATATACACTAGTTGAGGTTTGCATTTTGCTTCATTTTCTATATACATTTTTTTTTTGAAGTGCACGAGCCTTGTTCCCCCTCCTAACAGTTGATCATACTTTGCAGGCTTGTTATAACTTGATCTACTGAAATGCGTATGTTGAGATGCATTCAGCTGCTGAGGCGCTGCGCATTGTACTAAGAAGCAATTTAGGTGCCGTGCACTAGCTCTGTAGCAATTTGGATGCCCCTGCACTAGGCCGGCAGCGATTTAGCACTAGCCCGGTAGCGATTTAGGTGCCGTGCACTAGCCCTGCAGCAATGTGGATGCCCCTGCACTATCCCGGCAGCGATTTAGTACTAGCCCAGCAGCGACTTATGTGTCGTGCACTAGCCCTGCAGCAATTTGGATGCCCCTGCACTAGCCCGGCGGCGATTTAGCACTAGCCCGGCAGCCATTTGGGCGCAGTGCACTAGCCCTGCAGCAATTTGGATGCCCCTGCACTAGCCCGGCAGCGATTTAGCACTAGCCCGGCAGCGATTTGGTTGTGCACCAGCCCGGCAGCGATTTGGTTGTGCACCAGCCCGACAACAATTTAGCAAATACAAACAGCCATTTCTATCACCCTGGCAGATACAAACAGCCATTTCTATCACCCTTCTATCACCTGTGTATCACTTATTTATCACCTGGTGAACAGTACGCGACCGGTCGCATGAACAGTGACGACCGGTCGTTTTGAAGCAGATTGTAAAGGGATCAGTCACATGAACAGTAGCTATTGGTCTTTTTATTTTTTTATTTATTTTTATTTTTTTTAGGGTAGTATTACTTGTGCATGATGTTTAGTAATAACTTGGGATCCCATCAAAGCGACTCTGCTTGATACTTACTACTAATTCATTTGCTTGTTTGTTGTGGCAAAAGTTTGCTAAATTGCAAGGAAAACCCCCTTTTCCGAAAAACATTCCTTCACTTTCCATTAAAAGAGTAGTCTTCACCTTCAAATGCTACCATAACGGAGCATTTCTCAAAATTTTCTAAAAATTGGTGAGAGTTTATAAAAGGAACCTTTTTTTTTTTTTTAAGAGGATACAAAACCAAGACTAAAGACAAATGCGGAAATGTCTTAACAGTAGTATGGCTTGAGCCACTTTCCGTTGATGGGATCTGTTAATGTGCCTTCTTTGACTGAGATGAGGCAATAGTAGCCACTACTATAAGCCTCCTTGACTGTGAATGGACCTTCCCATGGTGGTGCAAACTTGGAGGGTCCCAATACTTGCCTCCTTACATGCTCAGCAGCTCGAAGCACTAAATCCCCATGTTTGAAGCTCCGTGGTTTGACAGCTCTGTTGTAAGCTTGGGAGATTGTCTTGTGGTACAACATCATTTTCTCCTCAGCTTCTGCTATTTTTTCTTCCAAAGACTCCAAGTCCATCCAGCGGCACTTTGAGCATGATTTTGCATCCCACTCAATGTCATTGACAAACAAAACCCTGGCTGTGGGGACAGTGATCTCAACAGGGGAGATCGTATCAGATCCATATACAAGTGAAAAAGGGGAGAAGCCTGTGGCGCTCCTCGGAGAGGTGCGGTAAGCCCACAGAGCATTTGGCAAGTCAAGGCTCCACCCCCCTTCGTATTCATATACCATTTTGCTCAGAATTCTCCAGAGAGTCTTGTTGGTAGCTTCAGCTTGACCATTTCCTTGTGGGTAATATGGTGTGGAACACCGGTGCTTGATGTCGTACCCGTTGAGTGTCGAGTTCACTTGCTTGTTGACAAAAGGTGTGCCGTTGTCGGTGACAATCTTGTACGGAATTCCAAACCTGCATACAATGTGTTCTCTTATGAAATTTGATACTGCAGCTCCTGTGGCCTTTCGAAGGGGAACTGCCTCCACCCATTTTGTGAAATATTCAGTGGCAGTGAGGATCCATATGTAACCATCTGAAGGCGGGTGAATGGTTCCAATCAAATCAAGCCCCCAAGTATGGAAGGCCCAAGGAGTGCGCATGTCTTTGTCCCATTACCTACACAAGCCAATAGACAAGAGATAAGGCACCATCTTTGTCCTCCACGTTCCTTCCTTTAGTCACCACTTGGACTAAATGTCAGATCAAGTAGGTAAATAGAATCCCACTCAGCCACCTCCATTAAACCAGAAAATGGAGAGAAGATTTGTTCAAAATAAGATAACCAATTTTCCATGAGTGCTCTCCCAACTATCCAGCAGGTAGTCAACGTTCATTTAACTCAGAAGTGACCCACTAAGCCTCTGAAATCTTGTGGAAAGCGATAGCCATCGAAAACACAGTTGAAAACACGTAAGGAAACGTCACAGCACGACTCGAGCGACCGGTCGTCAGGAATGGGC